CCCCCTTTTTCAATAGTGTGCACCCCCTTCTCAAAAGGCTGTATCCGCCCCTGTTGGTCTTGCGTTTTACATCTGTGTAGCTGTAGAGGGTGTCTACTTCACAGATGACACAAACATCCAGGTTAAAGTTGGTTTTCTGCAAACCCAGATTGTCGTTCGTAAGCGGCGTGTGGTGGATACATGGCTCAATCACTGGATAGTCAAAATCAGATTCGAATAGGTACCGACAGCCGTCATTTGCTGGAGTATTGTCAAATGCGGCGTCACAGCAACCCCCAACCTCACCCCACCCCACCCCACCTCACCCATATACACATACACATAAAATATTATTAACAAATACCCCCAGGTACAGTATAAAGTGCCCACCAGTCCATCTTGGCTTCTGGCGGGTATATAGATGTATTAGCTGGTTCCAGAAGGAGCATACAGTGAGGACTGTAATTGCTCAGAACATCCTCGGCAATATGCCTGTGAATAAACCAAAGACTGTTTTCATCAAGATGCAGAAACGTTTGCAGAGACTGTGCACTGACATTGTAGCAGGGAGGAAATCAATGCCAGAGTTTCTCCATAGTGTGGCCACCAATATTAGACTGAATAAACTTCAGTAAATGTCAGCAAATTCTTGCAAATGTATCAGTGCAGATGCATATTTTTGTCAATTTACATTGTTGTATATGAATAAAGTATTAAAAACCGCAGATCTAAGTATTTTCTTAACATTTTTTATAAAATATTAAAAGTAGGATCTTTTTTCCGGAGTACTTTTTTCCGAATACCTCTGTTGTATCGTAGTAATAACACCCTTTAACGCGTGTCCCTAAACAACCCAGCACTAACTTGTATCGTAGTAATTCCCAGCGCTAGTCAGAGTAACATCAAATAACACCCTTTAACACGTGTCCCTAAACAACCCAGCACTAACTTGTATCGTAGTAATTCCCAGCGCTAGTCAGAGTAACATCAAATAACACCCTTTAACACGTGCTTGTATCGTAGTAATTCCCAGCGCAAGTCAGAGTAACATCAAATAACACCCTTTAACGCGTGTCCCTAAACAACCCAGCACTAACTTGTATCGTAGTAATTCCCAGCGCTAGTCAGAGTAACATCAAATAACACCCTTTAACACGTGTCCCTAAACAACCCAGCACTAACTTGTATCGTAGTAATTCCCAGTGCAGGTCAGAGTAACATCAAATAACACCCTTTAACACGTGTCCCTAAACAAACCAGCTCTAAAAAGAATGAATATTCACAACCCAGAGCTTCTGGAAAGAGTGCGTTATGGGAAATTAATGCATTTAAATCATGTGTAAATTAAACCTTATGATCACTGAAATACTGCCGTGTATACATATGCAACATATGTAAAATGGTAGTGGCTGGTTGTTGTGTGACGCTGCACTCAGCAATATCCCGCTATATGGCGGCGGTCTGTACACAATCGAGTCAGGACCAGACAATCCAGGGATTATCATCATGAACATCGGTGTACGCATTTGGGATACGGTGAACTGCGCCAACCAAGACAGCGAGCCGGACCACCTGATCCCGTTATAGTCGACTCTTTCGACAAGCATGGGTAGTTGAAGAATTCCCACCCGGACCGTCACGGACCCAATGGTAGTGAAAGAGCATGTTCACAGTTGTATGCACCTTTTGAGAATATTCCGGTAATATCATGGCAGGGGCCCCCGAAATGGTTTTCACAGTCACAATGTACACATGTGGTGAACAGAACTTTGACCGTCGGCTAAAAAAATAATAATTTAAATTTTTTTATTTTCTGTAAAATATGTTCATTACAGAGACTAGCTGTTAGTCTATGGTTCTGCCCGCACTGAGGTTTTTACATCACATTATGGATGCAGGTTATAGGCGAACTCGAACCATAGACTAATTTTCATCTTTGCGTTGGTCGATACAGTTAGGGATAATAGAGTTATTGCCCTTAGCTTAGCAACACGCCAGGTTTTTTTTCTTGCCGGTTGGTTTTTCCTCTTGTATTATGGATTCTCAAATGTTTATTTTTCTCCTGTCGATTTTTAAGAAGTTTGATTAATCGATAAAGTTAACCTGGATCTGTGTCTGTAAACTACAGCGGATTTATACAGCAATCCGAGAAAGACAGAGTCCGAGTTTGACAGAGTGCACTGTACGTGGTAATGAACGACGGCGTACTTCATCACCACTCGACCCTTTCCGTACCCTCGCTATTCGGCTTGTCCCGGAATAACACGAGTTGGTCACCAATGTGTCATCACGAAGAGTCATAGTATTCCTGCAATGGAATCCCGCGTACATGGAGAAGTACCTTCCCAAGAATGTGGGCTAATCGAGCCTCTGCAATGTATACAGCGGTGAAGTAACCGATGTGCTGTCTGGTCTCCAGGAGGAAACACGATACATACAGACAAATATAAACACATTCAATTGTGCACAAGAATTTTAATCTTCGATCCAAGTTGTGTTACGATTTAGACCAAACTGTTGATTGAACGGTGCCGGTTGGACGGTGGGCATGCGCAGATAATCCCACCGTCAGGTGCGTCTTTCTCACGCACGTGCCCTTTCCCGCCACCCTTATTTGCAGTATACAACTGGCGCGTGACCTTCGTTTTCATTCAGTGGTGTCCTCTCTCGTTAGCACTATAGAGAATGGCGATTTGGTCAACAGATAAATACCGACTGTTTGTGAATACCCCAGGGGTCTCGGACGAAGGGGGCGGGCAGGGGCATTATTTGATCTTCATCGATCACCCTTTGTCTAAGAAACTGGACACACGACCGCTGACCGGTGTCAATCAGAACGCTGACGCCGTTTGCACGCTCATGCACGTGCGCCATGACCAGAAACACTGACCAATGAAAGCTTTTATTGATCTCGTGAGTGGTTATTTCTTTATTTCCATTCATCTGTGTAAAGGTGACCTACATTTGATCCAGACAGATGTTGCAGTGAGGGTTCGGACACACGCTCTTTTTAATTCATCAACATCCGTGAACCACAAAGATAAACGTTGGAGTCAATCTTTTGTCGGAATCTTTAATTTGTTCTTTGTGCGTTCTCAGTATTGACAAGAAATGATTGATTTCATCACAGACCTTGGAAGTGTTTCAGTCACAAGGTTAATTACACAAATACAAAAATGTGTTTCCAAAATACGCAACTGACTAATAATTACTGTATTGTAATCCCGTGATGTATTCCTCTCTACCATGACAAACCCCTACCAGTACTTCATGCCATGCGGTGTATGACAAACCTCTACCAGTACTTCATGCCATGCGGTGTATGACAAACCCCTACCAGTACTTCATGCCATGCGGTGTATGACAAACAGTACTACCAGTACTACCATGCCATGCCATGCGGTGTATGACAAACCCCTACCAGTACTTCATGCCATGCGGTGTATGACAAACCCCTACCAGTACTTCATGCCATGCGGTGTATGACAAACCCCTACCAGTACTTCATGCCATGCGGTGTATGACAAACCCCTACCAGTACTTCATGCCATGCGGTGTATGACAAACCCCTACCAGTACTTCATGCCATGCGGTGTATGACAAACCCCTACCAGTACTTCATGCCATGCGGTGTATGACAAACCCCTACCAGTACTTCATGCCATGCGGTGTATGACAAACCCCTACCAGTACTTCATGCCATGCGGTGTATGACAAACCCCTACCAGTACTTCATGCCATGCGGTGGTATACATGGCAAGCTGTATAAATGTAACGGTTTTGTCTGCGGTGTAAAACAGCATTCACTCACTTATGTATGGCAAAGCACCAGTCATATGGTTGTATATTTCGGTTATACACCACTGCATGCATGTCGATATACCTTATAATGCCGCAGACATTTACCATATTGGTGAAACCAATGTTGGCAGACATAGTGCTGACAAACCCAGGGCATGGTCGATTCTCTTAGAAAACTATAAATTCCCGGTTAAAATTTACTTTGTCAGTCTCACAATCCTCGAAATATAATATCTTGTTCCCTTCCGTCCAGCCAGTATGGCAAAACTAAACAGAGAAGGTCCCCGTCCAACCCTCCCAACTCCCTCGGGCTGTTTTTCACGTCCACCCGTGAAGATCCGGGTTAGAATCGTTCTTCAGCAACCCATGCTTGTCGTAAGAAGCGACTAAGGGATCGGGTGGTTAGACTCGCTGACGTGGTTAACACATGTCATCGTATCCCAATTGCGTAGATCGATGCTCATGCTGTTGATCACTGGATTGTCTGGTCAAGACTCTTTACAGATCGCCGCCATATAGCTGGAATATCGCTGAGTGTGGCGTTAAACAACAACCAAACAACTATAGATATTGTTGCTGTGTCTTTTGCACGTGTCTAACGTGCATGGCGTGTGGCGTGTGGCGTGTGTGGCGAATCGAACCCAGATCTTTGGTGTGACGAGCTAACGTTTTTATCTTACCCACTGACTGGAAGACTGACCTAGCGAGGATACTGTGTGTCACTGGCTGGAGATTGTTGCCAATACCATGACCCACTCTAGTCTAGGCGGAAGTGACGTAACAGAGCGCTTACAGGTAAAACCTGGTTTCAATGATGAGCAATCCGTGGAAGATTACACCGACATCAGTACCATGTCCTGTGGTAACTGCATGCTCAACAACACTTTTAAGTGGCAATACTTTATTTATAGACAGTGGTGTTCACTGAACGGGGCAGAAAATTGATTGAGGCGCTCGTACAATATTGACAACGCTGCGAGGAGCTTTAGACCATCTCAATTCACAAGATTGGAGACGCTTTGAGCAAACGGTCTCCAGTGAGCTACATGAGGGTGGCAGGAGGGAGACTTCTAAGACTTATCTGCGTGCACACTGCAGACATGGCACGTGTCTTTGGTGCCTGCTTCCACAGTTTCCTGGATTCAAGAACGGGACACGTGTCTCACCCAAGACACCCGACTGTGACAAATTACATGGCAATTATTGAGGACATGTAAATCTTTTCTACTGCTAATTTTTTGAGTCATTTTATTGCCTTTAAACCAAATCCTACATATTTCAGTGTGATTTGTTGATTGTTCATTAATCTAGTGTGGTTACTTATTCCACACTTCAGTTATGTACCTACTGATGTCCGAGTTATCTTTCAACTTGGGAATGAACTTGCAACAATACCATAAATATTGAAACAGCTTCTCACTTCAAAAACAGGTTTTTCCCTCGGGAACCCCGAGACTTCCAGACTGTTGGTTTTGTGGGTATTTGTATTACTTTGGGAGCTCCGAGACTTCCAGACAGTTGGTTTTGCACCACCAAAAGACGATGACGTTTATAAGTTAATCGCCATCGAAGATGCAGAAGGATATTCGTTAAAAACCGGACCCGTTATTTACCGATTTCGTGAAAGCCAGGCCTGTTTCAGGAAATGCTTAGATTCAGTTACAAGACAACATTAATAATATCAGCCCAGGTACTTCTTCCTGATGGTCACTATGAATCCCCGTCTCTTCTTCCGGTACATCACAACGCCTACGATGACGGCAACGACTACCACCGACACACAGACGGCCGTCACTATCCCAGCAATCAGTGCCACGTCTACGTCATCGGGCCGCTGCACGTGCTTCATGGAGACGCTGACGATGTTGGAACGTTGTCCTCGCTGTTCTACGTCATCGGTCGCAAGGATGGTGAAATAATACGTCACATCACCTGGATCATATCAATGATAATAATTATAGAATCAACATCGCATTCACATTCTCATTGTTGAAACATTCTGTAGAATTACTTGACTCTAATTTACCTCAGTTTTAGTAATTCCCATTCTTGTACCCATTGCTATGTATATAGTTTCCAGCGCAAATTTGATAAGTAAAATTCCAAGGGACTAGCCAAAATTGTTTACTTATCAGGTATTTTACTTATCCAAACCTATAAAAATCTGCAAATGACAACCATATGCATGTATATATGTATGCATATGTATCAATGAACAACTTATCAGGGCTGGCCTCCAATTGTCAGTGTATTGTCAACTGCTTGACGCCAGCGAGCTGTAAGTAGGATGTTTGTTTAACTGGAGACTGACACGTGCCCCTCATGTCGGATTATGTGGTGATCGCTAATTTAGTTATCCAGTATCTTTTGTTAAGTAATTTACTTCCAGGGACTGTGAGAATACGTTTAGTTAAGCGGTATTGTTTACTTATCCAAGTTTAGTTAACAGGACTCTAATAGTGATAATTAATGAAGAAATTTGCCGGGACCAAAGAAAAGTGTTTACTTATCAGGTCTGTTTAGTTAAGCGGTCTTTACTTAGGCGGTTTCCACTGTAGTTTCCAGCGCAAATTTGACACACTATGTATAAATGACATGGATTGTGCAAATGGAAAGTTGGGATGAAAACGTCCAAGTGTTCCAACAACAACAACAACAACAACAACAACATAATAGCTGGTCATGGCAAATAAGAATTTTATCTTAATATGACTATCTAACTTGTCTCTTCCCCTTTGTGTTATGTTTATGTTTGCTTTAACAAATCCTCACCGTCCCTATCGAGTTTGACAACGATGTATTCTGCCGTCCCGGACGCCGCTGGGTTGGCCAGATCTCCCTCAATCACCATGTCTCCGGTCACTGGTGTGGTCAGCGTGTGGTTGTCATACAGTGGGTCAAACTCGGTACTCATCCACAGTTCATATCCGGCAGCTGGAACACAAGGTCACAGGTAGTGGCCATGTCAGGTGTGGTCATCACGTATACCTGTATCGACCGCTTCACCAGCTTACAGTGCATCATAGTCATTGTTTACCAGTTGAGGATATATTGTACTGCTTTATATAGAAACATCTGCCATCTAGGCTATACGTCACGTGTCAACAAGACTGCAAAGGTTGTTCCGTGGTCGGTGAGACTAAAGCTTAGTTTCTGCAGATGTATAACCGTGAAAGAGAAAACAAACGACTGCATCTGAAAGGGTAAAACTCAATAGGATAGATGCTCCTGAATGTTTGAAGAATCTGGTCTTGCTAGTACATGACAGTAACGGCTGGACAGAAGGAACAATGATGAGGTCCGGGGACTGAGAGAGGCCACGTGCACAGCAGGCTTTCTGTTGTCCAGAACCCCGGTATTACCAGGGACAATCTACGTCTTCTATTCTCCCCGGTATTACCAGGGATAATCTACGTCTTCTATTCTCCCCGGTATTACCAGGGATAATCTACGTCTTCTATTCTCTCCGGTATTACCAGGGATAATCTACGTCTTCTATTCTCTCCGGTATTACCAGGGATAATCTACGTCTTCTATTCTCCCGGTATTACCAGGGATAATCTACGTCTATTCTATTCTCCTGGGATTACCAGGGACAATCTACGTCTTCTAGTCTCCTGGTATTACCAGGATAATCTACGTCTTCTATTCTCCCCGGTATCCGGTATTACAGGGATAATCTACGTCTTCTATTCTTCCGGTATTACCAGGATAATCTCTATTCTTCTAGTCTCCCCGGTTTTACCAGGGATAATCTACGTCTTCTATTCTCCTGGTATTACCAGGTATAATCTACGTACCAGGGATAATTTCTACCAGGGATAATCTACGTCTTCTAGTCTCCCCGGTATTACCAGGGATAATCTACGTCTTCTATTCTCTCCCGGTATTACCAGGGATAATCTACGTCTTCTAGTCTCTCCGGTATTACCAGGGATAATCTACGTCTTCTATTCTCCCCGGTATTACCAGGGATAATCTACGTCTTCTATTCTCCCGGTATTACCAGGGACAATCTACGTCTTCTAGTCTCCGGTATTACCAGGGATAATCTACGTCTTCTATTCTCCCCGGTATTACCAGGGATAATCTACGTCTTCTATTCTCCCCGGTATTACCAGGGATAATCTACGTCTTCTATTCTCTCCGGTATTACCAGGGATAATCTACGTCTTCTAGTCTCCCCGGTATTACCAGGGATAATCTACGTCTTCTATTCTCCCGGTATTACCAGGGATAATCTACGTCTTCTATTCTCCCGGTATTACCAGGTATAATCTACGTCTTCTATTCTCCCCGGTATTACCAGGGATAATCTACGTCTTCTAGTCTCCGGTATTACCAGGGATAATCTACGTCTGCTATCCTCTCCGGTATTACCAGGAATAATCGACGTCTTCTAGTCTCTCCTGGTATTACCAGGGATAATCTACGTCTTCTATAGTCTCCCCGGTATTACCAGGAATAATCTACGTCGTTATATATCCCTCCGGTATTACCAGGAATAATCTACGTCTGCTATCCTCCCCGGTATTACCAGGGATAATCTACGTCTTCTATTCTCCCGGTATTACCAGGGATAATCTACGTCTTCTATTCTCCCCGGTATTACCAGGGATAATCTACGTCTTCTATTCTCTCCGGTATTACCAGGGATAATCTACGTCTTCTATTCTCCCGGTATTACCAGGGATAATCTACGTCTTCTATTCTGCCCGGTATTACCAAGTTCGTCTTATCCAGCCTGTGTGATATAGTAGACATAAAGAAACAGAGAACACCCCAGGCAGTACCCGGAAGTGGAGTGTAGTATATACCTGTGCCAGAGTCGAGATCGTCTCCGGGCGCCGTCCACTCCAGCCGGACCTCCTTGTACCCTACAACGGTCACCTGGAGATCGGAGATCTTGCATGGGGGGTACAGGTCACTGCCTGCAACACACGTCATCGGCCGCCATGTACAGATCCCAAGGAAGTGCATAATGAAAGGCTAAATAATATATTTACTAAAAAGATCTGAAGATGGGCATTTACTTCTTAAACATTAACAACTTTAATAAAAGCAGCACAAACTCCCCCGTAATGTTCCGGTTCTGTATATATTGGTCAGGGGGACAGTTCAGTCACATCCCGGTATCTGCCCACGGCGTGAAATGTAACGTCATTGCAGTCATATAGCTTGTTCCCTCTGAATATCTGGGTTAGAAGTGGTGTTCAGTAACACATGATAGTCTAAGCGGCGACAAACAGTATGGGGTGGTTGACTGGTTGATACATGCCCGTCGTATCTGTTTACGTAGATAGATGCTCAATCATCGGATTGTGTGGTCCAGACGTGATTGTGTACAGACACATTGGCGCATTGTTGTGAGCAAGGAACTCACACACAGGGTACTGTACTGGGAGCCGACCATTCCTTGTTTCCTCCCTGCCAAGGCAGCTTAGCAAGAAGCACCGCCTGTAAACGTCTTTGGCGTGACGCTGCAGGGAATCGAACCGCTGTTTGCCCAGATCCTGTATCCTGCGACAATATTAGGGACAAAGGACATTTGTGTGAAGACGAGTTGCATAATTAACCAGCTGTTATAATGCCCAGACAGTATCTTAGCAACATCAGAGTGGGGACAATACAACTACACATGTTCTAACCATATCTTGAATCAAACCTGGATTTTCAAATGGAGATAAATATTTCACCAGCTGACCAACCCACCGGGAGCGAAGCCTGTGAGACTGAAGGATCCGGCGGACGTTGACCTCTGGAAGTGCCCCACGTTCTGGTGTGTGTGCTCCATCCTCCCGCCGACATCCCCCACCGCTGCCCCAACACCTACCACCCGATCAGTAGCAACCACAGTGGCTGCATTGTCGTTGACAGTTACGGTGACGTAGTAGCGGCCATTGTTGGTGAAGTTGGTGACGAAAGCCGAGTAGATGCCATCATTCTTGGTCGCATCAGCGCCTGATACAGATTATCAATAATACACGAATACTAGCGAGATCCAGACTGTATGCTGCGACTTCAAGACAGAGTATCAGTATATACACGAATACTAGCGAGATCTAGACTGTATGCTGCGACTTCAAGACAGACATCTCATACTGTAAATTCTCCCGATGGTCATTCTTTCAGCAAAAGTGTTACAGATGTACGTTTGACAAAGCACCTTGGAATAAATGGCAACAGATCAGTATTGTTTATGCCAGACTGTTGCTGTGACTTCAAGACAGACAGATCTGTTTAAGGTTGTGACAAAATGTCAGATCTGTTTATGCCAGGTTGTAATGTCAGATCTGTTTATGTCCAGATCTGTTTATGCCAGGTTGTAATGTCAGGTTGTAATGTCAGATCTGTTTATGCCAGGTTGTAATGTCAGATATGCAGGATCATGGCGGGTTGTAATGTCAGATGAAATGCACATGAAATGCACAGAGACTCTTGTCATTTGAAATAATTCGGGCGTCTCCAACTGATTATATTTGTTTGTTTGGTTTGTTGTTTAACGCCACATCCAGCACTATTCCAGTTATATGGCGCCCAACTAATTATCACTGGTATACGTTCAGGTGTTGTTGCCATCCAAGTGGCGGAGTCTACAGTCCTGGACCATCTCACCTGCGCCGTTGTCCCTGACCATGAGAGGAACGCTTGTCACCTCCCCGGACGTCAATCCTGGTTGTTCCAGTGTAGCCTTCACCGTCGCTTTCAGTAAGGGGGATAACCCTGAAATAATTTACCACTTTAGGGAATGTAGATATAAATGTAATGTGTTTACTTTCTATTCGGTAACAATTGTTATTTCAGTCAGATTCAGAAGGGGCGGTGGGATATTGAGGCTCGTCAAACTCCTGGGGTATGGAAAAACGGCGCAAAACTCATTCATTCACACATAAAACACATTGTTTGAAACTTATCATTAAAATATTCTTTCACAATATATCTAGGTCTGTCAGGAGAACGAACTTAGGTTACCCTGTGACACGCTGATATAGAGATTCTGGAAAAGCGGGAAGGCAACACTTGATTTGCCCCACTGCGCATGCGCCAGAATGGGTGCCTGTTGCCCTTGTCTGACACGTGATGACACGGTGAAGGCCATCACCTGGACCTCCTCATGTGTGTTGGTGATGTTCACAGCAAGACCTCCCGTCTGGAAGAATACATTCTCGGAAATTGTCATGGTAATAAATTACATACCTTGCTAACATTAACCGCCAGCTCCGATTCGTGTTTCAAAACGTTATAGAACGAAGGAACGACAAGCATATTTAAATAGAAAATTATGGAAGTTGATAAATAAACTTTTAAATAGATAAACTTTTGAATGATTCCGAGTTTAGCAGGAACGGACTTCCGCTGAAACCTATTTCTGTTTGGTGTTTAACGCAGCACTGTGAATAATTGACACTGGACCTGACGATCCAGACGATTGATAGATCAATCAACCCAGCCAGAGAGCTTGATCACCCTTCCTGGATGTCAAGCACGTGTTGCTGGGGGCACGGGGTCCCGACGGGGACGCCGAGGATCATGGGATGCTGGACAATGTTGTTGTCCGTTGACAACATGCCCCAGGTACACGGATCCAGCTGGATCACCGAGTTTATTAAGATGTAGAGAAGGTGCCCTGAATGAAGGCTACCTGATCTTAGGCTGTTTATGTTTCACTCGAACTCTCATTTTTCAACCCTGAATCCGGAATTCTGCTTAACACCAGAACTGCTTAAAGCCAAAAGCACGTCAGAATTCACACAACAACGGGAGAATAATGGTCATGGACGAAAATATATACTCTCCCAAAAAGAAACGCATCATGAAAATAGCAATTTCATGTAGCAAATGAATTAAAACGTGATTCATTTTACAAAAAGGTTTTGCTCTGTTTATGAGTCCTATGGTGTTTATGTTTTGAAACATCACAACAAAACGCACCATCCGTAAAATACCCGTATTTAACAGCATGATTTTCAATTTCGGCATGTAGTGTCACAGAATACACAATTCACATGCAATGCACGTGAAAGTTGGGGATCAGATAGTCTCAATGATGGGTATAAAAGGTTGATCGCTGTCTGTCGATTATTCACTGTATTTGGAATATTGTTGACGAACGCAAAATGCCACGTCTAAGTGAAGCCAACCGTCATATCGCCATTGGTTTGCTTGAAGCTGGCCAGTCTCAACGTGCAGTTGCCCGACGCATGAATGTTCACCAAAGCACGATTTCACGGCTCTGGGAGAGATATCGCTGGCAGAATTCGGTAGCAGATGCCCCTCGTAGTGGGCGACCACGAGCGACCACTGCGGCGCAGGATCGCTACATCCGGGTACATCACCTGCGTCATCGAACAGCTACGGCGACCAGTACCGCTCGACAAATACCCGGATTGAGGAGGCTTTCTGCACAGACCGTCAGGAACAGGTTGAGAGAGGCTGGTTTACGTGCCAGAAGACCTTATTTTGGCCCTGTGCTTCGACAACAACATCGTCGACATCGAGTTCAATGGTGCACCAACGTTCAGGCCTGGAACCTACCGAATTGGCGTAGAATCTGGTTCAGTGATGAATCACGATTTCTATTGGAACGACGCGATGGAAGAATGCGGGTGTACAGACGTCGACGTGAACGTTTCGCCGACGCTTGCGTTCCCCAGGTGGACAGATTCGGCCGGGGAAGTGTTATGATGTTGGGAGCGATCACCTGCCGTAGGAGAAGTGATTTGGTGATGATCCAGGGCAACCTGACAGCTCAACGGTACTGTGACGAAATCCTACGCCCACACCTCCTTCCAATCATTGATCGCCAGAGGGAGTTGTTTCAACAGGACAATGCCAGGCCCCACACAGCACGTCACACTAGAGACTTCCTCCAGAACCACAACATCAATGTGCGCCCCCTGGCCCTCAAGATCACCGGACTTTAAACCCGATCGAACATCTGTGGATGCCCTGACAGACGGGTGCGACGCCGTAACCCTCAGCCCCAGACACTTCAGCAACTCGCACAGGCACTACAGGCAGAGTGGGCTGCGATTGGGCAACACGAGATTCTGAGACTTATTCGTTCGATGCCGAGGCAATGCCGTGCAGTTCTGGATGCCCACGGTGGTCACACGAGGTATTGACTTCAGCGCCACCACACGTCTCCATGTGACACTCAAACTGACTCTTCCTCGAGTTGGTGCCAAAGACGGATAAGTCTGCATTCCCAGTGTGCAATTTCGCTATATTTCATTGACTCCATAAAGCCTACAAGATGTTTCAAAATAAACATAAAAATACAGTTGAAATTCCTATATGCGTTTCTTTTTTTGGGAGAGTATATATACCTAATAAAAAGGTGCAATCTTAGTAAATAATTACTGAAAAAACAGATATGCAAGGGTAATGTTTAAGCACACCATTGTGTTTTACAAAATGTAGAATCTTCGTGTAAAAACACACCCACATATGTGCACTACGCGTACCAAACCGATAAGGCACGCGTATATATTCTCGTTCCAAAAGGGGGTTGGCTGCCTCTTCAATAATAGAAAATCTAGACAGCCTCACCTCCATGTAGTCTTTGAAGTGGAAGTTGGACGTGTTGAAGGATGCCTCGTTGGTATATTCCGGGGACGAGGAGTTCAGTACATGGCCGCCAGGGGTCACCATGACAACCACTGGGACTGTAGTGTTGTAGCCGATGGAGATGTCGGTGTTGACACCGATGGAGGAGTCAAAGAAGATGACGTCAGTATAGCTCTCCCCTGGTTGTAGGAGAAACGATTGGCTGACCAGCTGTAGGACTCTCTGACGGGCAGCTGTAGCAGACAAAAGATGACATTGTGGAACACTGAATATTCTCTCTTTGACACGTTTATTCACGTACATTGCAGTTACCTGCAAGGTGCTTGTATATGCAGTCCTGTGCAGTCCAGACGGTCTAAAGATTGAAAGTCCCTTGAAGCAGTTTAAGGTAGTAGAGAATTGAGATGTAATACTAGTATTTTCGCATAAAAAGTTTGTGAACACTTGATTCGCTCACCTTCACGAAATATGATTTTCTTATTTTCAGCTATAATATTGTCCGTTTCTTTAAAGATAAACAAAGTCACAGGGATCTGAATCTTACCCGAATGCTTCTGGGATAGCATTCAGTTCGCCGTTTAGCTTCATAAGGTTTTTGGTTTATGGTGAAGTGTAAAAGGTTCCCAAAGAATTCATGTATAAAATATCATATTCCACCCCGACTTGTGTGGTCGCGATGTAAATCTTAGCAATACTTCACGTCAGACATATTACAGGGGCAAGCCAAGTACATTTGTACCTACATTTGCCCCGCTCAGAGGAAGCTATGAATGCATCATTGAGAGCGTTGGAGATGTCGCTGTCGGACTGGAAGAAACTGATGCCGCCCGTCGTCTGTGCCAACATCTCCAGCTGTTCATCAGCGCTGGCGCTCACAGCGATCGTATCAACCGTTACGTTAGCATCGACAATCTGGAACAGCAAACACAGAACCTACACCGAGAGTTCACGTCTGGCTGTGTCGGAATCATGGATCTCATCTGCAACAACACGTGATTACTACTTCAGACTGGACTAGAAACGATGACCTGAAGTTTGTCACCTGTTGTGGGACATGCATGGCGCCTACACAACACAGAACTACCAACTAAACATGGAGAGTGGGTTGTTGTTACCTGTTGAATGACGTCCCGGATGTAGGGAGGGTGGGTCTCAATTCCGTCTGACAGCAGGATCATGTTCCCACCCTGGGTAGATGCGAGAACCTCCAGACCCTTCAGGATGCCTGCAAACATGGGTAACGTAACTACTTTAGCGGGTCTAGGACGATATCCCCCTGCCCTATCTTCCCTCTGAGATATCCGCCTACCAAATGCACTTACCGTACCAAGGTGACCAGATGGTCGTCTGCTATATTCTTGAATTGCGCCCCATACGCAGTCGGTAACAATCTCTCCGACAGGCGTATTACGTACCATGCTGACTGAGAATCTATAACTGGACCAGGTTCGTGTGAGTACATATCGGATACGTATAGGGTACACATCGAGTAACGTATCATCGTGTAGGGCAGGTGCCATTTCGAGTGCTTAACGGATGCATATCAGATGCGTGGATGCATAACGGATGTATCGTATGCATATGTGTTCCTTGCGTGGGAAACATCGAGGGTAAAGGATGCGTATCGGATACGTATCAGGGGCGTATAGGCTAACTCGACTAACCGTCTCCGATGCTAGTTGCTCCACTAGCAGTTCTTGGAACATTTTGTAGAAGTTCAGTCCTCGTCACGTTGTTAACAACGAGCAGACGAGACTTGATGGTGGCGTACCGGTTGAACCAGACAATTCCAAGTTGTTCCCCGTCCTCGAGGACCCGAGAGATGTAGTTGGATGCCGCCTAGGGGAAAACAGAAACAATATACAATGATCTGAACCCGGACCGTCGGTGAGACGAGTGAAGTCTAAAGATTGAAAGTCCCTTGAAGCAGTTTAAGGTAGTAGAGAATTGAGATGTAATACTAGTATTTTCGCATAAAAAGTTTGTGAACACTTGATTCGCTCACCTTCACGAAATATGATTTTCTTATTTTCAGCTATAATATTGTCCGTTTCTTTAAAGATAAACAAAGTCACAGGGATCTGAATCTTACCCGAATGCTTCTGGGATAGCATTCAGTTCGCCGTTTAGCTTCATAAGGTTTTTGGTTTATGGTGAAGTGTAAAAGGTTCCCAAAGAATTCATGTATAAAATATCATATTCCACCCCGACTTGTGTGGTCGAGATGTAAATCTTAGCAATACTTCACGTCAGACATATTACAGGGGCAAGCCAAGTACATTTGAACCTACATTTGCCCCGCTCAGAGGAAGCTATGAAGGCATCATTGAGAGCGTTGGAGATGTCGCTGTCGGACTGGAAGAAGCTGATGCCGCCCGTCGTCTGTGCCAACATCTCCAGCTGTTCATCAGCGCTGGCGCTCACAGCGATCGTATCAACCGTTACGTTAGCATCGACAATCTGGAACAGCAAACACAGAACCTACACCGAGAGTTCACGTCTGGCTGTGTCAGAATCATGGATCTCATCTGCAACAACACGTGATTACTACTTCAGACTGGACTAGAAACGATGACCTGAAGTTTGTCACCTGTTGTGGGACATGCATGGCGTCTACACAACACAGCACTACCATCTAGACATGGAGAGTGGGTTGTTGTTACCTGTTGAATGACGTCCCGGATGTAGGGAGGGTGGGTCTCAATTCCGTCCGACAACAGGATCATGTTCCCACCCTGGGTAGATGCGAGAACCTCCAGACCCTTCAAGATGCCTGTAACATGGGTAACGTAACAACTGTACCAGGTCTAGGCCGACATCCCCCTGCCCCAACTTCCCTCTGATATATCCGCCCACCAAATGCATTTACCGTACCAAGGTGACCAGATGGTCGTCTGCTATATTCTTGAATAGCGCCCGATACGCAGTCGGTAACAATCTCTCCGACAGGCGTATTACGTACCATGCTGACTGAGAATCTATAACTGTACCAGGTTCGTGTGAGTACATATCGGATACGTATAGAGTACATATCGGATGCATATCAGGTCCGTGTAGGGTACATATCGAGTGCTTAACAGATGCATATCAGGTGCGGGTGGATGCATATCGGATGCGTATCGTATGCATATGTGTTCCTTGTAGGGAAACATCGAGTGCGTAAAGGATGCGTATCGGATACGTATCAGGGGCGTATAGGCTAACTCGACTAACCGTCTCCGATGCTAGTTGCTCCACTAGCAGTTCTTGGAACATTTTGTAGAAGTTCAGTCCTCGTCACGTTGTTAACAACGAGCAGACGAGACTTGATGGTGGCGTACCGGTTGAACCAGACAATTCCAAGTTGTTCCCCGTCCTCGAGGACCCGAGAGATGTAGTTGGATGCCGCCTAGGGGAAACAGAAACAATATACAATGATCTGAACCCGGACCGTCGGTGAGACGAGTGAACGCTGTGACCACTAGGCCCCCGTCATGTATGGATTATGATTATTTTCATAATGAACAAGCTAATCACTATCGTGTCTTTGTATATGTAGCTGTGACATGATTAGATGTATAGTCAGCTGTACAGAAATTATAATCTATCATCATTTCACCATTTTACACTCATACTGTTCCACTTACAACAGGGGGGTTGGGGTAGCCGAGTGGTTAAAGCGTTCGCTCGTCAAGACACTAGTTCGATTCCCCACATGGGTTCAATGTGCGGAATCCATTTCTGGTGTCCGTTGTCGTGATATTGCTGGTATATTGCTAAAAGCGGCGTAAAATTAAACTCACTTTGCATAATTTGCAAATTTCAGTGGCAGGAAATAGTTTATTAACCTCCTGCACCTGTTTTAAAACAAACGACAATCTGTCAACAAACTTTCAACATAAGTCCACAATTCTGATCAGGTTTATATCGCTCCACGGTTCTACACTTAACCGAATGTTTTACCGAAAATAAGCAGTTGTGAGTTACACATTGTGTTTTAGTATAAGACAAAATATTATGGATGTCAACGTCTTGTTTATTCTATACACAACGTTTCATTCACCTGACGAAGGGGCAAGGAACAGCCCAGAAACGTCGTGAATAGAATAAACAAGAAGTTGACATCCATAATATTTTGTCTTATACTTGAATACCAACTTCTATATGCCTCTCAAGAACCACATTGTGTTTTGTTGGTTAATACAACCGGTTTTTTAGTTGTTGTAAAACGCCACTCAGCCATATTTCCATTACATGGCGACGATCTCTAAAATATCGATGGACCAGACCCTTATTCTCGGTCTTGGGCCCTTATTCTCGAAACGAATTCTTAACTTTGATCTCAATGTGTTAAGAATGGGCTTAAGCAGTTCGTAGGGCTACGAACGTTTACGGAATAGCTAGCCTGATATCGATCTACGGAACTGGGATATTATGACATGCATCGAATAACTGTCTGACACTCCTCCCGTTAGTCGCTTACGACAAGGATGGGTTTCTGCAGATCCATTCTAACCCGGATCTTCACTGAGAGACATGTAGCAACTGCTGAACGATGGATTCGAAAGCGCACCTACCCTGGCGAGTTTGGAGATTCTTCCGAAAGATTCCATGCTCCCGGACGTGTCCAGCACCAATACAGTCCGTCTGGTGCTCTCCTTGACCAGTCGGAACGTCGGCACTGTCGATGTCACGTTGCGGGGAGGGTTGAAGTTCTTTTCGAAATCGCCATGCTCTCTCATCACCTTGGTAGGTAAAATGTTGAATTAAAACAGAGTTTAGCTGACAAAAAGACGTCTGCACCATGGAGCGAGAATTTATCTTACCTCGCCATGCTCCAGAAAGTAGGGCAGGAAAACGGAACTTGTTTAAACCTACCAATATATACCAGGAATACTGCCGAGGCGGCGTCACAGGACCGAATGTCAAAGTTTGTGGTGTAGTTTTATTCTGTGTGACACTAGGGATTACGCACTGTGTCCGTAATTCTGGTGATAGTAGCTGAATACGTTTCACATACGACATAATGACTTCCGGGATATAAGTGATATAATGTAGAATACCTCACCTCCCACACACTCCGACCGTCACACATCTGGTTCTGTTTGTTTGTGGCCTGTCGGTTGTGGAGGGTCAGCGGGGAGGACGGGTCGTTGTCACAGAAGTGGACGATCTGAAACAGAGACAACATATATACTAGTTGATTGGTTGGTTGTTTAACGCAGTACTCAGCAATATCCAAGCTACATTGTATATGGCGGCGGTCTGTAAAAACCTTGGAGTCAACTTTGTGTGCAGACTCTTTCAGTGTTGTCACAACCCCTAGTGTACAGTGCACAGCCCTGTGCACTTAAAAGAACCCACGAATCCGTTGGTAAATGACCAGATAGTATACGTGCAAACACCTAAATTAGTTACGGGTACAGCAACGTGCAGTAAACTTGGACAAAGTACCGTGACTATGTGTCCCAGTCCACCCAGCTGTGAATGGGTACCTCGTAAGGATGGAAAAGCCATATTAACTTGGTGTGCCTAGTGGCTGCAAGATGATCCCCAGGGAGTTGAGATTGATAATACGATGTACCGTTGAGATTGACATCCAATGATCGAGGGAAAAACAAAACGCCTGTGAGCAGCCTAGCTGGAACGCGGCGCTATATAAATAGATTATAAATAAAATAAAATAAAAATCAACCAAGTCAGCGAGTTAGTGAGTGAGTGAGTTTAGTTTTACGCCGCACTCAGCTATATTCCAGCTATATGGCGGCGGTCTGTAAATGATCGAGTCTGGACCAGACAATCCAGTGATCAACAGCATAAGCATCGATCTGCGCAATTGGGAACCGATGACATGTCAGCGAGCCTGACCACCCGATCCCGTTAGTCGCCTCTTACGACAAGCATAGTCGCCTTTTGTGGCAAGCATGGGTTGCTGAAGACCTATTCTACCAAGTCAGCGAGTCTGACCACGCGATCCCGTATATGTTAGTGACACACTGGGATAATCTGAGATGCTATGAGAGAAAGTTAGTTAACTTATGAAAACTGCTTCTCAAGTATAGTTCAAACTGGACAAATTGAAGTTCGGGACAGACTGTTCATTATATGGTCACCTACAGATATTGATTTGTCTGAAATGTCCCGTTCACTTAGAAGTATATTTTAGATTTCTACTCTAACGCATTAATAACATCAATTACAAAATTCAGTGTCGGATCTGATTTCGTTACAGTGGAGCTCGGCGTCCTCAATCGCCTGCAGGCTACAACTCACATGCTGCAGCTGCTGTGAGTACATCAGAGAGCCGTACTTTTCCCCTGTGTTTTCTGTGTAGGGCTGGAACCGGCAGTTGCTGTCCGGAAGTCCGACCTGGTATCGACACCCCTCCGTCTGCCGGACAACGTCATAGAAGCGACCTGTAAGGGGGACGTCGGACTGATATCACAAGGCATAACGATATCACAGGATGATGGCATATAGCACTCAGAAGAAATCAAGAACACCAATATTTTTTCTTACGACTGACGTTGTTCAGTCATGTAGCGGTGTGCGATAAGATTGTTCTAACTAATTGATACGTTAGTTAGATGTATAAGAACACCCTTTTCTCGAAACGTTCGTAGACCGTAAGATTCTTATCTTTGATCGTAGCCAATGTGTTAAGAATGGGCCTAAGAAGTTCGAAGGGATGCGAACGTTTCGAGAATAGCTATCTTGATTCTTTAATATTGCTGCTGTTAATTTGTCATGAAATTTGACAGGAGCTAAATTTGAAAGCCAAAAAAACCCAATCAAAACAACAACAAAAAACAAACCCATCACAAAATAAAAACACACCAAGGATAAAGTAGATATGAAGTGATATAATCTATATACTTTCCTCGTATCGCCGTTGAACAGCGGATGCCTTCTATTTCGCCATTACTCGCTGCATAAAACTGCTGCGAAGACTTTTCATCCGGGTACTCGTCAAACACCCCGTATCTGAGATGTCCCCACTCATGTATGATGGTCTACAAGGAGGACAGAGATAGGGATTCTTGTCTTGGTAAGCATCCTATTCCAAGTCAGAACATACGTCAGTCGAAGTTACCCGATTTTGGTTTAGCCTTTCACTATTACCATTAACAGTATGACAAATACATAATGAATGCTAGATTGAACCACATACACTGGTATAACCCATGATCTCTGAATAAACGACACTCGTAATTTCAATTAAGCTGTTCCAAATGGCGGATGTAAACTAGTTGATATATACTACTAAAAAAATGTTAAAGAACACCCACAACCGGAAGAGTGTGAAATCCTTGCAATGCCAAGACGCCATGACAGATTGTCAATTGTCGATTGTTCTTTAATTGTTTAGTAGTATAGCTGGGTATCGACATTTGCATCACCATTCAGATACATCTTCTGTGAGCATTGTTCACCTTATCGTAAGGGCCGTACAGATCAGCAGCTGTGTCGTTCAGGACATACGCTGGGGTCAGGTGCATGTAGTGCCCCAACTCGCCGCAAGGTGTCGTCTTTATTACGAAAGGTCGGTTGCCATAGCTGAATCTGTCATCTGCTTGGTCAATAAGAATATCGCTTTTGTCTACAGTCTCCTTGGTCTGTGGCTCATACTGCGGCCTGTCGGACCACGACTTGGGGACCAGGATGGTGACGTCACCGAAATATGCTCGCTGGCTGAAAGATGGTGTATGATCTGAACATGCATATGTGTGTTTACAGGCACGCCCTATCTATAGTTGTACTATGCATCACAAAAACAAATATACTTGCTAATATGCTTCAGAAACAACCAGTAACCTGAAGAAGATTCTTAAAAAATGACAGATAAATAAATTTAGTGCAAATGGGTATCCATAGAGGAAAGGACATTACGATAATCAGTCTCAGGTTTAGATACCAGATAATACCTCTGTGTGTTTACTAGATGAGGACATTACGATACTCAAGTCTCAGCTTTAGATACCAGATAATACCTCTGTGTGTTTACCAGATGAGGACATTACGATACTCAAGTCTCAGGTTTAGATACCAGATAATACCTCTGTGTGTTTACTAGATGAGGACATTACGATACTCAAGTCTCAGCTTTAGATACCAGATAATAATTCTGTGTGTTTACTAGATGAGGACATTACGATACTCAAGTCTCAGCTTTAGATACCAGATAATATCTCTGTGTGTTTACCAGATGAGGACATTACGATACTCCAGTCTCAGGTTTAGATACCAGATAATACCTCTGTGTGTTTACTAGATGAGGACATTACGATACTCAAGTCTCAGCTTTAGATACCAGATAATATCTCTGTGAGTTTACCAGATGAGGACATTACGATACTCAAGTCTCAGGTTTAGATACCAGATAATATCTCTGTGTGTTTACCAGATGAGGACATTACGATACTCAAGTCTCAAGTTTAGATACCAGATAATATCTCTGTGTGTTTACCAGATGAGGACATTACGATACTCAAGTCTCAAGTTTAGATACCAGATAATACCTCTGTGTGTTTACCAGATGAGGACATTACGATACTCAGTCTCAGGTTTAGATACCAGATAATACCTCTGTGTGTTTACCAGATGAGGACATTACGATACTCAAGTCTCAAGTTTAGATACCAGATAATACCTCTGTGTGTTTACCAGATGAGGACATTACGATAATCAAGTCTCAGGTTTAGATACCAGATAATACCTCTGTGCATGCAAATGGATACCTACTATGCAAATGAGGACAGCTATCAGGACACCTGTGTGATTTAGTCTGTCTCACAGTCCATGAACCGCATTACTCTCCCAGCAATGCTGAACGTTTAAGTGGGATTTGTGTTACCATCAAAATATTCAAACCTACTGTGTGACTGTACATGTACCCAGACACCTACTGTGTAACTCTGTACAGGTACCCAGACACCTACTGTGTAACTTGGCACAGGTACCCAGACACCTACTGTGTAACTTGGCACAGGTACCCAGACACCTACTGTGTAACTTGGTACAGGTACCCAGACACCTACCTGGTACAGGTACCCAGACACCTACTGTGTAACTTGGTACAGGTACCAGACACCTACTGTGTAACTTGGTACAGGTACCCAGACACCTACTGTGTAACTTGGCACAGGTACCCAGACACCTACTGTGTAACTCTGTACAGGTACCCAGACACCTACTGTGTAACTCTGTACAGGTACCCAGACACCTACTGTGTAACTTGGTACAGGTACCAGACACCTACTGTGTAACTTGGTACAGGTACCCAGACACCTACTGTGTAACTTGGTACAGGTACCCAGACACCTACTGTGTAACTTGGTACAGGTACTTTGACGCGTTGGTGAATATGCTCTGCAGTTTCTCTATGAGCGAGTAGTCCTCCGGCACCGATTCCTCTATAGCGATCAGCATCCCCCGGTACTCGTTGTCCTTGATGTGGATGACACCCCGACCACACCCAGACGCCAGGGGGAGCAGAAGAAGAAGGGGGGCTAGCAAACTCATGGCTGTGTACATTCCTGTCGTCATGACGACCCAACTGAAACATACACGACACTACAAGAAATGTGATCATAGCATTTTAAACAAGGGTAATTCACGATTTATGAGTTTACTTCATGTATTTACAGATATAAAAGATGATTTGCCACTCATCTGAACACGGATACGAGGTAACGGAAGAAAATGGCAATCATTAATCTTCATGTTATTTTCTGGTACTTCAACATTCAGTGGGGGCATTAGTGGCTCGGTCGTCTGAGGCGCCCACTTAGCTGTGCAGAGTCGCGTCCCTTGGGTACGACAGGATCCACGCATCCCGGTTTTCTCCGAATACGTTTCTAGATTTCTCTGCACCATACCTTTCTCTGTATGTTGCACCAGATTGGTAACATCTGGGACCTGCTTTACTTTGGGCTTTCATCCACCCCGTGATGTCACTGGGATAGTGCTCAACTCAGCGTTACGCTCAACTCACTCACCCAGATATAACGAGTGAACACATCCCAAACACCAGGTGTCAGTAGTATTGTTATGGTAGCAATATGGCTGAATTCTTGGTTAAAGCGTTCGCTCGTCTCGCCGGACCCGGGTTCGATTCCCAACATGGGTACAACGTGTTAAGCCAATTTCTGGTGACCCCGCCGTGATATTGCTGGATTATTGCTAAAAGCGAAGTAAAACATACACAAAAATGCGAATCGAACAGACAATTAATATAACATGTTAGCTACAAAACACTTACCTCAAGGAACTACAGACAAACGTGGACCTGTCAGCCAGCTATCGCCAAAACCGAATCCTCCACACACACAGAGAAGACTCGTCCCTTGTTGTGTATACCACGTGTGTGTTACTACAAGCTGAAACTAATATAAAACAAGTTAAAAGCAAGAAGGTATGCCGAAGTTATAGTGACAGTACACCTCCGCCCACTGACGCTCCCTTGAGTGTTACGGTAAACTTAGCCTAGGATCGATCCTTCACATGATTTGTGACTTTATGAACCTCCACTTGAGTTTATTCCACGTCGCCCTAGTTCGTTACTCCAAGGATAGGTACATTCTTGGTCTCAATGGATGTAGAGCAGCGTCGGGTATTACCGAACAGCTAACACCATATACTGCCTAATTTCTGTTGTGTTTCCTTATATGAAGCAATACGTAATACTAAGAAAGAACCGTTCAGTGGTACTCAAATTCACCCACAAACGCGAGTATGTGTTGTCCACCAATCTTGTTGCTGATAGATATTTCACATCGTCAAAAAAATTCACCCTTGGCGACTCGTCTACACACCGTTGTCGGGCTGTTCCAAACTGTCATTCCGAACACACGGTGCGTCATAACAATTTAGTTGTGGACGAAGTCTCATTGTTTGACAGGTTGTCGTTTGTTTTAAAACATGTGCAGGAGGTTAATAAACTCTTTCCTGTTACTGAAATTTGCAAATCATGCAAAGTTCATTAACAGAAATGAGTGAGTATGGTTTTACGCCGCTTTTAGCGATATTCCAGCAATATCATGGCAGGGGACAGCAGAAATGGGCTTCACACATTGTACCCATATGTGGAATCGAACCCAGGTCTTCCGTGTGAAGAGCAAACACTTTATGTAGGCTACCCCACCACCCCTGACAGGAACGAGCAAAGAGTTCTTGGATCAACCGGCCAGTATCTGCCGCGTGTGTGGCGGTAATGTGTCTGTATATACATTCTAAATAATTCTACTAAATACAGCTCCTGTGATGGTCTGCGATAGCAGCCACGTCACATAGTATATACAGTACCAGTGTGATGAAACAATACACTTGAGAATTCACTCTCCATTCATCCTTTTCTGAGCACTGATTCTTCAGATGCCACATGAACGTGTCCTGCTATGTGACCCTCACTGACATTAAGCATGTGATATTGCCTGTGGAACAAACAAAACAGGTATTTCATGCGGGCATCACACTTGTGTTGTGGACTTTCATCTTTTTGCGACACAGTGTTCAATGTTATGGACAACCGTATACACCGTATCCTTGAATTCGCTACCCGTGAAGATCCGGGTGAGAATAGATCTCCAGCAACCCATGCTTGTCGTAAGAGGCGACTAACGGGATCGGGTGGTCAGGCTCGCTGACTTGGTTGACATATGTCATCGTATCCCAATTGTGTAGATCGATGCTCATGCTGTTGATCACTGGATTGTCTGGCCCAGACTCGATTATTTACAGACCGCCGTCATAAAGCTGGAATATTACGGAGTGCGGCGTTAAACAAGCAGCCAACCAACTATTGACTGTTGATACTCGTCTCCGAGCTAGTCAGACCAGTGGTTGATAGGGTGATGAACATCTGGGCGCAATGACACGCAGAACCACCGAGTCAGGCCATCCGATCCTCAGTCCTGGAGTCCGATGGTCTGGTGACCTAGTCTCGCTACCCGCTGGATGTCACAAGTGTGGGTGTTTGAAACTGGCATCCGGCATGTGTCAAGGGTAGATAATGTAAACTATTTACATAGGGTAACAGGGAAACATTCTTACAATAAACATGCCACGATGAGTTATAAATCACAGCAGAGGAGCTCTCTCCAATGTCGGGCCACCCTCCACAACACTCCACACAGCCGGCCGGTCACGCCCGTCTCCAGCACTGTCCAGCAAACTGTACCCAACAATGTTCTGACACTGTAACCAACACAATCTTGGTATTGTGTTGACATTGTAACCGACATTGTACGGGACGCTGTAACCGACACTGTACGGGACGCTGTAACCGACACTGTACGGGACATTGTAACCGACACTGCACGGGACACTGTAACCGACACTGGACGGGACATTGTAACCGACACTGTACGGGACATTGTAACCGACACAGCACGGGACATTGTAACCGACACTGTACGGGACACTGTAACCGGCACTGTATGGGACACTGTACTGACACTGCCCTAGCATTTCGCTGAGACTAAAATTACTTTTTACGACACTTGACACCGTATCCGACTTTACTGACCTTTTCCGACACTGTACCATACACAGTAGGACACTATTGTGACACTGTCCCAGATACTCTGATAGAAATATACACATACACATTAATATATTTAGCACCACCTCAATCCAAGGGCAATAAAAACATGTTGGTCGAAACAGGCAATCCTACCCGAGGATACTGAACATCTACGGGTCGCATGTTGACATACTGCCAAGGCAACATATGTTATGTTTGGGATTGCACTTTCTTAGTATGTTACATTTGTTACATTTGACCACTTTCTAAATGGCATTGTGTAATCATACTGCCAAGGCGCCAAGCACGTTGGGGTATGAATTCAATAATTCCAATATCTTCGATACAGTTGTCTGAACTGTTATAAAGGACCGCAGTACTAAACATGCATGACACGGATATCCTGTTGCAACATCGGTGCTGAGTTGAACATTAGCCACACAGTTTTTAGACGACTTGCGAGGAACTTGTGACCACCGGTGAAATAAAGGACCGTCCAAGAAGATCGAGGAAGACCAATGACAATGAGGACCGAGTCCAAATACGTCTGGCAAGACGCAATCTAATGACACATGCCGAAGACTGACACGGTCCGACTCTCCACCAGTACCATTGGAAGGAGGTTGCGGCCGGCTGGTCCGATGGAACGTCAAATGTCCTTCCTCACACGGGAACATTTGGCGTGAAAGCTGCACTGCACCTTGAGGACATGGCGTAAGGTTAATTGTTCTGACATAGTCGCTGTCTTCTACACGTCGGCCGCTGTCGCGTATCGAACTCAGGCATATCATCAGGAGATTGTACATGCAGCTGAACCCTTTGGCGGTGGCTCAGTGATGATGTGCTTTTCATTAGATTTTATTACAATACCAGGGACACTCAATGGTCAACGTTATCAACAAGAAGTGCTGGATACCCAGGGACACTCAATGGTCAACGTTATCAACAAGAAGTGCTGGATACCCAGGGACACTCAATGGTCAACGTTATCAACAAGAAGTGCTGGATACCCAGGGACACGCAATGGTCAACGTTATCAACAAGAAGTGCTGGATACCCAGGGACACGCAATGGTCAACGTTATCAACAAGAAGTGCTGGATACCCAGGGACACGCAATGGTCAACGTTATCAACAAGAAGTGCTGGATACCCAGGGACACTCAATGGTCAACGTTATCAACAAGAAGTGCTGGATACCCAGGGACGCGCAATGGTCAACGTTATCAACAAGAAGTGCTAGATACCCAGGGACACTCAATGGTCAACGTTATCAACAAGAAGTGCTGGATACCCAGGGACACTCAATGGTCAACGTTATTAACAAGAAGTGCTGGATACCCAGGGACACTCAATGGTCAAGGTTATCAACAAGAAGAGCTGGATACCCAGGGACACGCAATGGTCAACGTTATCAACAAGAAGAGCTGGATACCCAGGGACACGCAATGGTCAACGTTATCAACAAGAAGAGCTGGATACCCAGGGACACGCAATGGTCAAGGTTATCAACAAGAAGTTGCTGGATACCCAGGGACGCAATGGTCAACGTCATCAACAAGAAGTGCTGGATACCCAGGGACACGCAATGGTCAACGTTATCAACAAGAAGAGCTGGATACACAGGGACACGCAATGGTCAACGTTATCAACAAGAAGTGCTGGATACCCAGGGACACTCAATGGTCAACGTTATCAACAAGAAGTGCTGGATACCCAGGGACACGCAATGGTCAACGTTATCAACAAGAAGTGCTGGATACCCAGGGACACTCAATGGTCAACGTTATCAACAAGAAGTGCTGGATACCCAGGGACACGCAATGGTCAACGTTATCAACAAGAAGTGCTGGATACCCAGGACACGCAATGGTCAAGGTTATCAACAAGAAGAGCTGGATACCCAGGGACACGCAATGGTCAACGTTATCAACAAGAAGTGCTGGATACCCAGGGACACGCAATGGTCAACGTTATCAACAAGAAGTGCTGGATACCCAGGGACACGCAATGGTCAACGTTATCAAAAGAAGTGCTGGATACCCAGGGACACTCAATGGTCAACGTTATTAACAAGAAGTGCTGGATACCCAGGGACACGCAATGGTCAACGTTATCAACAAGAAGTGCTGGATACCCAGGGACACGCAATGGTCAACGTTATTAACAAGAAGTGCTGGATACCAGGGAACTCAATGGTCAACGTTATCAACAAGAATGCTGGATACCCAGGGACGTCAATGGTCAACGTTATTAACAAGAAGTGCTGGATACCAGAGGACACGCAATGGTCAACGTTATCAACAAGAAGAGCTGGATACCCAGGGACACGCAATGGTCAACGTTATCAACAAGAAGTGCTGGATACCAAGGGACACGCAATGGTCAACGTTATCAACAAGAAGTGCTGGATACCCAGGGACACTCAATGGTCAAAGTTATCAACAAGAAGTGCTGGATACCCAGGGACACGCAATGGTCAACGTTATCAACAAGAAGTGCTGGATACCCAGGGACACGCAATGGTCAACGTTATCAACAAGAAGTGCTGGATACCCAGGGACACGCAATGGTCAACGTTATCAACAAGAAGTGCTGGATACCGCCGTCATGCCACATTTTGATAACTACCCCCTTGCCAGTTCGTCCGATATTCACAGATGATCGCTCATTTTGCAGCACGTCATTGCAAGGAGCATCCCCATCGAGCGTCTTTGGGGCTATCATGGACGGCACATTCAAACTAGAGACGTTCAAAATGTGGAGGAACTGACGCAGGAATTCTATGGAAGAGGATTCCGATGCTGAAAATTCCACGCTTGATTGCTAGTACGAGGAGGAGACTACACCAGGGCCAGCTATACCAGGTACTGAAGGGGTCGCCAGTGGTGGTGCATACAATTACTATTTTAGAAACTGTGGGACACTGAGTGTTGTCTCTTAGTCATGGTGACCTTACTTTCCGTCGTTGATATTCACGATTTTTGTGTATTCCTCTCAGATTGCAAGTAAACTGTTACCAAATTTCATTTTCACCTGTTTTTTGTCTTCATCAGAGTCAAGTTTTTCAAAGCTTACACATGTTGTGTTTTCCTGCTTACCATACAGAAAAAGGGCGGTGCTTGATTAAATGTTCATATTTTAGTATTTTAGTTATCCACTTGCCATGTGCTAACATCCATCTGATGAGACAGACGTGAATTGCCCTGCACACAATAAGAGAACCAAGGAAGGATCACAATATATGGATGAACAACTTCTTTATAGCTGTGAGAGCGACGTTTCGGTGTAGGTTCTAACACCGTTATCAAGCAAGTCATCAATATATAGATGTAGTGGTTAGAGCGTCCTCCCGGAGAGTGGAAGGTCGCGGGTTCAATCCCCGACCGCGTCATACCAAAAGACGTTAGAATATGGTTCTTGTTGGTCCCTGCCTGGCGCTCGGCATTAATGGGTACAAGAAGGACTGGTGGGCTCGGAGTCAGTATAATGTGTCTGAGTAGGGTATTCATGCTTCACTGCGGCATGGTATTTCAGTGGGCTAGCACTATAAAACCAGCTTAAGTCTGGGCTAGTACAAGCAGACACAAATACACATACACACGCATGCACGTCGTTATATGAGCGAAATATTCTCAAGCACGACGTTAAACCCAATTTCACCTCACCTCACCTGTCAAGCGCCGTTGGTCCTCTGTCAGTAAACCAAGTAAAGGTCATATTGCCTCGACTGACTCTGCTGCGTTTTTCATTCAGCACCGTTTGGTCATGTTGACATGAAAGAGTACACGTCTCGGCCCAGTGTTTCACGGACCTAACTGTTAGTGTGTTCGGAAACACGTTGCATGTGTAGCTTTCGGATGATGTCAAGAACTCTCATCTTCCCAATGGAACAATTATAGCACCACAAGGATGGTTTCAATACAAATAATCCAGTCCTGCAATATTTATGAGCACTCTTCACTTTTGCAGCAGCACATATAAATTTTCTTTAAATCTAAATTCCCATAATTACACAGGATCAATTCAGTTTCTCTATACCATGACCTCACTCTTACAATGAAATACTTCACATAAACATTTCCAGTATCTGTTATAACCTGTCGTGTTTTTGATGAAATACTTGGGTATACAAAACGACAAAAACACAGTCAGTGATTAATGTTTTATTAGACAATGATAATGTGCAAAGCTCGATGCTTCTGCAGCTGTTGACACTGTAGCGTGTGGTACTGAGGACAAGGTAATTGAGGCTGTAACGTAGTTCTGAGTTGCTACGGCTGCAACATGTCATGAGAACAGGTCTGCTGTAGTTGTAGCATGTACTAAGATAAGGCGGCTGTAGCAAGTCATGTATCTGTAGAATTGTGAGGACATGGCTGCTGTAGCATGTCGGACTGAGGACAAGTGTGCTGTAGCTGTTGAGAGGTCAGCCATACGTGTTGTGTTGGCAGCAAGGAGGATGGGGTAATTTAACAAATTCTGCAGTTAGGAACAGTGCTGAACGTTTCTTGAAACAGAAGAAAGAAAAGTGTTGAGAACATTTCAGAGACAGTGATTATGCTGTGGGTGAGGTATTCTACAAGGCCACATCAACCAAGTGCTGACCATTCCCTTACAGTGAAACATCAGACCTGTATGCATGGAGGAATCAATAGGGAAGGTAAAGGAGAAGTTTCTAGTGTGATCATGGGTGGGTGGGTGGGTGTTAAATATAGATGACAGTGAGACTACATGACTGGATACTGTGTACCAAGTGAGATGTGGGACACCTTATGTACAACTGTGTCTGTCACTGACATCCATGACGTCAACGGCCTAGTGCTATTGTAAAAATCATCAACTGGCACAGCGATTTCAGCGATTTGAATAAATCTGTTTCTGATCACATTTAGTACTAGAGATCTGTTTTTAAACTAAATCTCATAAACTTTCTGAAAGACGGTCATTATTTTACATTTTCTCAGAACAAGATGTCAGTAATGATGCAGCATGTATATAAAGTAACGTAATAAAAGAATTCTTACATGATCATCCATTACATTTCAAAGCATATATCTCTCATAATGTATCCACTTAATAAAAATATACACACATGTCAAGCATGAAAGCAAACAGTCCTTCAGTTGGCATCACTCACAACCGAAACAACTCCTGTCAGATGTGGACAGCACTAATGGCCAACTCCTCTGCCAGTGCTCACAAGACAGCCACAATACCACACACACTAAGCTGGCAATCTTTGGTAAACCATCACAAGAAATGTCAGTCTACATGAGTGTTTGGTTGGCACTATCTAATACCCTGCAGGAGGATGGCTACCGATATAAAAAGCTGAATACAAGACAACATACTAGTGAGACAACTGTACAAAATATACACGGTAATACAAGCACCATTGAACTCTCCACAGCCTTTCATTAACACAACAGTGTTATTCCACAGTTTTCTCAAACACAATTGTGTTACATGTAAGATAACGTTATTAAAGTCTTCATTAATACAGCTTTGTTACATACAAGACAATGTTATTCCACAGAATTCATTAACACAACAGTGTTAGAGACATGGGGTCTTTAATACCAGCTTCAACAAGCATTCTGCTTACACTGGCACAATATACCCCAAATATCTCTGCCTCATTTACCATGACTATTAACCATGGGATTTCTCACCCGATTTGCAGCAAACAAAACCTTCACAGACAGCTTTAATATTCCTCCAAATATAGCCCATTGTCTAGGAATATGCCTTTTGACTGGTTCATTTGAACACTGTGATACTTACAAACATCCTTCCACATGAGCATGTAATAATACTTTCTTCATGTTCAGACCATATCATACATGTAGGTCTTTACATAGACTCAAAATGAATGACAACCTGGCGGAATTACATGTTGCTACAACTAGGCTGATCAATATGTTTCATGTTCCAGTGCCTTGCTGGACATACAGTGAAAAAAATGTATTAACAACATTGGAAATCAGGATATTCTGAGCTGTTGCTAATACAAACATGTCATACAGACAGTCTCTGAATAGATTCTGGTTTGTAATAAATATACTTTCAATAGCAGTACAGAAAATACATTTTGACCTTAAAAAAATCGACAGTCTCATCAGTTCATCAACACACATGGTTTGAAGATCTACACTCAAAGTAGCTTTGTCAACACAGTTGGTAACAGCTTCGATGGCAGTTGTTCCCCACTATGCTGCACTTGAACATATAGTGGAACACTCTGACATTAAAATGGTATTTGGATCACCCTGTACTTAGCACGAAGTGACTCTTAAGGCTGATTACATGTGTGCTTTGAGATCAAAGTCAAGCATAAGGAATAGAAAAGAACAGGAATTCCTTGTCATTCAACAAACATATTTATAAAGAAGTGTGAAAAAGGATGACATATGGTAATGACTGACGGTAACCCATCCAACAAATAAATAAAAAGTCCTTACTTGAAAAAGTACAATCTAAGAAATTCAATATTTGAAGATGGGAGACAGTATTACACCAGTAGTCAGAGTTTGCAGCGAGTCCTGCTTGAATGTGTACTTCTACTGGATGAGACTTGAACTGGTTCTGAATTATAGCCCTGAAACCTACAAGCCAATGAGATTCCTACAAGCCAATGAGATTCCTACTTGTCCTCAGTACAATGTACTAGTCTTGGGCTAGTGGAATAGTGGGAATCTACAAAGGCGGAAAGTAGAATAAACTTGAATGTCACCAGCTTGATGGATCAGTGAGCTCAACTCTGCCTCAATCTCATCCTTCTTGAAGTTCACTCGGGCTATTTTACGTCAACAATTTCTTGTATGACCAGTGTTTTTGTAGGAAGAGACTATCAAGACTGACTTGACCAATGCGACTCACTCAAATGACATACGAAAGACAAAATTCTGGAGCACTTATACTGTGAACATACTCTGTGTATAATATCCTAAGTACAACAATGCAATATGAATGAACTTGAGACATACAAGTACAACTCACACTGTAAAATGTCACTCCATGTTACATGCCATTTACATCAAATCATTCCTCTGTATGACAACATCATCATCATGGATAGAAAATACACCATGATAAAAATCAGCAGCAAATACTATAATTGGCTATATTCAAAATGATTACAAATGTTATTACAGATATATTGTGCGTAAATAGATGACAATCATACATATAGAACCATGAAGTGGTTGGCCATACATTCCTGGAGGAGACTGAAGCTGGTATCTTATCTACTTATCAGTACTTAGTTCTAACACCACAGATCACATACTGTGACTACATCATTATCAGCTTTAACATTGTGACGGATATTTAACAGAACTTTTCAAAGTCTTGGAGCATTGATAAAAACAAACTTTTATATAAACGTATCTCCGGCACAATTGTTGAAAATGACTGTTGAACATGAGTGAGAACTTACAAACCAATCTTTGATTAATCAAAATGAAAGAACCCAATCTTTTCAAGAAATATTTGGCTGTCAAAAAGCTCTATTTTTGGTTCGTCTAACAAATACCATAACACACTTTTAAGGGTATATATTTCTCCTCATACACTGAAACTTGTGTATATATATATATATATTAACAGGTACTCAACATGTACAGATAAATTAAGGAAAACATACCATAGATCTATGTAATTGTAAGAAGTGAACACATTGAAACATGTAATACAGTTCAAAATATCATAACTGGGAACTCTCTTTATTCTTTTTCTGTTTTGTGGGGATGAAGAAAAGAACACACTTCAAGTTGGGCCAGCAGCGACGAGCGTTAAACATGTCACATGAAGACTTGTAACAGAGATACCGCTCCATCATGGCAGTAGAAACTGGACATGTGACACAAAGTTAACAAATTTCACAACAATTTACCTGTATTAAACGTGAAATATGTTCTTTTCTTTCCATCTTGTTATCTGAAGCTCCAAATGCAACAGTGACTACTATGGCTCTTGAAGGAGGCACTTGTATGAAGGACACAGATTCACCTATCTAGCCAGTTGTTCAGATGCCCAATGCTTACCACCACCACCACCAGTATTACTTCAACAAATACAATAATTTGGTCTTTTCTACGATCAGTCAACATGGAGATTTACTTGACATACGAGACTGTATCATAGCATTTTCTGGAAAAGCACACTGAACACTCCAAAGTTGCATTTAGGGTTTCACAGTTATTTTAAACATGCATCCGCAAAACAGCAGCAGTAATGAACTCCAGCTAGTCAGTCGGCATCGCCCTCTGGTGGCAGCTGTACATCTGGGTATGGCTCGGAAGGGGAGGGCTGGGGTGGAATAACGTTGATAGTTCCATCCTGGTCCTGTTGAACAATACCCTGGTCGTGTGAAGCATCGGCAGCTGCCGCTAGGTTGGTGATAGATTTTGATTTAACGCACTGGAAGTCCACGTGGCGACTCTTGGCTTCTTCCTTCTCCCACGACATGCGAAGAAAAGGCCTCTGAACATAGTTGTAGATGACTGCAGGAGACAGAAAGGAGTGAGTGAGCTGGGTTTAACACTGGAGGGAGTGGGAGTTGTGTTAATAGCAGCAGTATCAGGAGCACCTATTACGTGCTTAAGCCTAGGATGAACAAATTGGTGGTCAAAAGAGTGTGCAATGAGACAACACCTTTGGCATATAATGACATATTCAGGACAGAACAAATGAAGCAATAGATTCAAGGAACAATTGAATTGGCTGTATGGAGATAATTAGGCCATTAAAAGGCTATCATGTCAGTAACAGCAATGATTAGAATTTCGAGCATGATGAGTCGCCTGTTTTTATGTGATGTACAAAACTTGGGGCAAACCTTCTATTTCGAGTGGGAAAAATTCAAAAGGTAGGATCTGTTAAACAGGTGAATGATAACTTAGAGTGACCTTAGCAGAAATTGTGACACCCCACTGATAGGTTTCTATTAGTATCAAGAACTGTGTGGTCAATCTGTCCCTGATGATCCTCCACTCTGGGCAATGTGAGGAGGATGGGTAGGAGACTGTTCCTAGAGTCAGACATGCTCTTCTGAATATCTCTTTGAAAATTTATGGATTTGTTCACAGACAGTGAGAGACCCTGCACACCTCTAAAGTAATTTCACCCTGCAATACCTCTACAACTCTCTGCATGAGTAAAATGCCAACAGATGACCACTAACATACCTTCCTGTGGCGTCCACCAGGTCTCTTCTTCACCTTCTCCATGTTGGTTGGATAGCCTGGAACACAAGTTGGGAATATCATGATACATTAAATACATAGAGGAACAGTGACACAACTGTCATCTAATGTGTGATGCACTGTACACAGGCAGGAACAGTCATACAGCTGTCATTGGATGTCAGATGAACAACACACATATAGGAACAGTGACATAGCATTAATCTAATATTACATTTGAGCAAGGAACAAGGTGTAACTTGTTTATTGTCAGAAGGCAACAGCCAAAGCGGCCACTACTGATATGAGATGTCAGGGTATGCCACACCATCCAGGTCCAGCTGATAGAGATGTGAATGCCACACCACAGCAATATTAGACTGGTCCAGGCACTAAGGTGGTGGAGTTCATGAGTCAGGATCCAACACCCTACTAAGGAGATCCTACATTCTATCTACTTGACCTCTACATATGAGTTGGTGGACACTAGGTATTGTGAACACTCCTGTGACCCAGGCAGAAGGATGATCTCCCCTGGTTAGGTCACCCAACCTACTGAATCTGAAGAAATCTCAACCTCACATAGTTGCCTTTACATGACAAGCATGGTACTCAGTACAGTGTCAGTTGCCCATAGAATAGCATATATGCAAGTGTCCTCACCTTCAATGCCAAGTCTAATTTTCTTCAAACCACGTTCTTTGAGAACCTGCTTGGCAACATCTCTATTTTCTATATATCTAAAGAATCTGTACATAGCTGTGCTGTGGATAACTGTAATGGAAAAGAAAATATTAAACTAGATAATGTCTTTACCAATAAAACTAAATACAGAAAAAACATCAGGTTATGATTGTCAGAAATTTTGTTACAGGTGTTAATGACACTAAACAGACATTACACTTCATCCATTACACATAGATTGAGGCAATTTCCAAGATGTAAAAGTTTGGTCTCATTATGGTACAAGGTTGACAAAGTTCACCTATCAACATCTTCAGATATTTAGTGATATGTTTAGATACAAGTGATAGTGCTTTATCCATCAAGTATTTATGATGATGGGAGACAAGAGACAAACACTTACTCTGGGAGTACTCTTCCCCCATCTGAGGAGGATAGTCATCATCCCATTCTACTATATCCTCCTCTGTAAGCACTACGATGTGACACTCACGGTCACCATGCTGAAACACATACAAGTGTTGAGTGTACAAAGATGAAGTGTTGAGTGCGCAAGTCGCGATGATTGTGCAAGTGTTGAGTGTACAAGCGATGATTATGTGCAAGTGTTGAGTGTACAAAGAGCTGGAGTGGCCACTCTGATGATTGTACAAGTGTTGAGTGTACAAGGATGATTGTAGTAAGTGTTTGAGTGTACAAGTGATGATTGTAGCCAAGTGATGACAAGTGTTGTGTGCAAGTGATGATTGTACAAGGTGCGTTGAGTGTACGCGTTGACTTGGTGTACAAGTGATGAATGTACAATTGACACAAGTGTTGAGTGTACAAGGATGAATTCAGCGCGTTGAGTGTACAAGAGATGATTGTACAAGTGTTGAGTGTACAAGTGATATGATATTGTTGAGGTGCGCGTTCAAGCGCGCTGAGTGTGCAAGTGTGTTGAGTGTACAAGGTTGAGTGTACAAGTGATGATTGTACAAGTGTTGAGTTTACAAGAGATGAGTGTACAAGGATGATTGTACAAGCGTTGAGTGTACAAGAGGATAATTGTACAAGTGATGAGTGTACAAGTGTTGAGTGTAAGAGATAATTGTACAAATGATAATTGTACAAGTGTTGAGTGTACAAGTGATGAGTGTACAAGGATCAATATGTACAATGGTTGATGTACAAGTGATGAGAGTGCAAGCGTAAGTACAAGGATGATTGTACAAGCGTTGAGTTTATGCGCATTAAGTGTACAAGTGATGATTGTACAAGTGTTGAGTGTACAAGGATGATCAGGTATTATGTACAAGTGATGATTGTACAAGTGTTGAGTGTACAAGATAATTGTACAAGTGATGAGTGTGCAAGTGATGATTGTACAAGTGTTGAGTGTACAAGAGATGAGTGTACAAGTGATGATTGTACAAGTGTTGAGTGTACAAGAGATAATTGTACAAGTGATGAGTGTACAAGTGTTGAGTGTACAAGTGTTAAGTGATAATTGTACAAGTGTTGATTGTACAAGTGCTGAGTGTATAAGTGTTAAGTGTACAAGTGATGATTGTACAAGTGATGATTGTACAAGTGTTGAGTTTACAAGCGTTAAGTGTACAAGTGATGATTGTACAAGTGTTGAGTGTACAAGTTTTAAGTGTACAAGTGATGATTGTACAAGTGTTGAGTGTACAAGAGATAATTGTACAAGTGATGACAAGGATGATTGTACAAGTGTTGAGTGTACAAGAGATGATGTACAAGCGATGATTGTACAAGTGTTGATTGGTTAATTGTACAAGTGATGTATTGTGTACAAGTGATGAGTGTAAATATACAAGTGTTAAGTGTACAAGTGATGATTGTACAAGTGTTGAGTGTACACAAGTGTTAAGTGTTAAGTGTACAAGTGATGAGTGTACAAGTGATGTACAATGATGTACAAGTGAGTATTACATATGTTAAGTGTACAAGGCCGCTAAGTGTTGAGTACCAAGAGATACCAGCGCGATGATTGTACAAGGCAGCGATTGTACAAGTGTTGAGTGTAGTGAACAAGCGTTGAGTGTACAAGCGCTTAAGTGTACAAGTGATGATTGTACAAGTGTTCCGCTGTGCGCTGCCGTGTTGAGTGTACAAGTGATGATTGTACAAGTGTTCCGTGAGTGTACAAGAGATGATTGTACAAGTGATGAGTGTACAAGAGATGATTGTACAAGTGATGAGTGTACAAGCGTTGAGTGTACAAGTGATGAGTGTACAGTGTACAAGTGATGATTAGTACAAGTGTTGAGCGACAAGTGCTGAAGTGATGGTATGCAAGTGCGTTCAAGTGTGCAAGTGATGATTGTACAAGGATGACTCTACAAAATGATGATTGTACAAGTGTTAAGTGGACAAGTGATGATTGTACAAGTGCTGAGCTTAAAAAGCAAGGGCAAGTTAAGTGCAGAAAGGACAATGGTACAAGTGATGAATGTGCAAGTGATGCGTGTGCAAAGGATCAGAGTACAAGTGTTGAGTGTAAAGGTGATGAGTGTAAGAGTGTTGAGCATACAGTATTGTGTAGAAGGATATTTCACTAGAACAGCCCTGACCATGTTCAGAAAATGATTGAAGTGCTAAGATGATCGTAACTCCCATACTTTAACATTGACTTACAACTGTCGTAGCACTGTGATCACTTTGAGGAACGGGGCTCTCAACACCTGCAGAGAATGATAACACTCAGTAGGATAGCCCTGAACACTGGCAGAGAAGAATATCACTCACTAGAATAGCCCTGAACACTGGCAGAGAAGGACATCACTCACTAGAACAGGCCTGACCACTGGCAGAGAAGGATATCACTCACTAGAATAGCCCTGAACACTGGCAGAGAAGGATATCACTCACTAGAATAGCCCTGAACACTGGCAGAGAAGGATATCACTCACTAGAATAGCCCTTAAAAATGGCATAGAATGATAACACTTACTAGAATAGCCCTGAACACTGTGGCAGAGATACCTTCAGCTACTTCATATTCTCCCCTCTCATTTGGACGTGTGAATTTGTTCTCTAGTGATGACGTGAACATTCTGCAAAACAAGACATAGTTACAAACAAGTTACACTCACTGATGAGTGTGGCAACACTTTTTGGTGGTCATAGTCACATAAATATTCAGAAAGCATGAAAGAGTAAATGCCATTTCCTGTCTTACCTTCCAAGCATGGTTTCTGGCCTTGCCCTGAAGAGTTCCGGATCAATGACAAATCGTGTCTCATCTACAACAAGTGTAAGTCTCTCTCCCTTGGTTGTTGATGCAGCACAAGGTCCATTCATCTTAATGTTCATATTCATGTTAACATTGCAGGACAAGTTAGGAGCGGCCATGGCCTGCTCCCCGTAGTCCAGCGTAAAGTAGTTCTTGGAGGAACCCGACAAGCGGGAACACACTTTCTGACTGCGACTTGAACCCACCTCTCCCGACTGCATGTAACTACGACTCATATAGAAAGGCATGGATGAGGCACTACGACCATCAGATGCCCCGCCCTCCTCGTTGCTGCTCGTGTTCTCTAAGCTCAGAGAGCGGACACGGTTTACCAGACAAGGTTTGGATCTGGCAGGTTGCCCAATTGTACTGAAAACAGAGTGAGGTGGTGAGAGAATGAAGTACTAAGCTGCAGTTCTTCACATGACATGTATTACATGACTTAACATCCATGCTAGCACTGCTCCAGGCAAGAAATATACACATAGAATAAAGTGTCGCAACACCTATAATTTTCAGGCCCTCTCAGACGTCTGTTGTTATCCCTTTAGCACAGTACAGAATGAATAGCTGCGTGTCAAGCTTAACATCACTGGAATTTAAGTCGTGGGGTAGGGTCCACCGGTCAATGTTTTTTTTTCAAGATTGATGTCCAAGCTCATGTTTGGCCCCGCAGAAACACTGCATATGCTCAATGAAATATTATGGAGCAAGTACTGTTTGGTGGGGGTTAATTAATAGAGTGTGGGGTGCCTTTCACATGACAGGAAACTGTAGGCCACATCATGCAAATGCTGTGAGTGAATTCTTACGTCATGAGGCAGTAGCAACTCTTCACCTTCCATTAGCTTATCCTCAGCAAACTTAAGGGTGCTTGTACACGTGATACTGTATGCCACACTCGGCAATATGCCAGCCACATGACAGCGGCCTGTTAAATAATCACATTTTTATCAGGCACACCTTGGTTGATCCCTGATCCATGCCGTCAAGATCCAATGACACACAATCAAGAACCTGAGTGTGTCACTACTGGATCCATTATGTTGCCTCTTACAACTGTCCTATATACATTCGAACCAGAGAGCCTACAACGAACGAATGATACAATCATACCTTGTTCTTTTTATGCAGGTTTTCTTTCTGTCATCCGTCTCCGAGAAGTCTGTGTCCTCATCACTGTTACTATCATATAGTCTTCTATGGTCTCTATGATCTCTATGCTCCCTATGACTATGTGAGCAATGCCTCCGACAGGCCATCCCAGTTCTGCTCCTACTGCTAGATTGGTGGACCTGACGACGGCAATGTCCGCTGGCCAGCTGGTACGCTTAACTGGCCCCGAGACTGAAACACACATAGGCATAACAGATACACACACTCAATGAGAACATTTGGAAACAATTGAATACACAAGGTATTCATCGATTAATATATCAATATTATCTTGTTTTGTTTGTCAGAACTACATAAAGTTACACACATACAAACACTAGATGTTGACAGTGTTCTGAACTGGTTTAGGTAACCATATCTCTGCTGAAGAAACCATTTTGATTTTGATATGTTTCACTTCAAAGTAAACTGATAGCTGGTTAGTTAGTGTGGCATGTTCTGAAATGGGAATCTATTGGTATCAGGAAAACACGATGGAGCTCTGTAGCATAACAAGTCAATATAAAAATTGTTTATAGAGGGTAGCACAGGACACGGTTACTACAGCAATATCCTGAAACTACTATTTGTCAGCTTACAAAAACTACATTCTACTCCTGACAACACACTCTAGGGTCATCCACAACAATTTGGTATGTCCAAAGTCTCATACATCAACAAAAAGGTTAAAATATCTTGGGGTGGAACGGAGCTTATTGCACATTTCAAAATACTGAAAACTAGATGAACGACAATGAGCATATGGAACACCAAGTTATATTCAATGTTTGGAAAATATTATGATTAAATGTACAATAATCCTGCTAAGGTTGACTGAGATGTCCTCATTCTAAATGCAAAAGGTCACGACAATAATAAACATGGTTACCCAACAAATCAGCAGAACCTACCAAGCTGCTGCATTACGCTGCCATCAGTGTCGTGACATCAAACACCAGGTACATAACAACGTTTGATCAGAAGCAAATAGGTAAACAGTAAAAATAAACATTGAACTGAGTAACCTGATACTTTACCATTGTCAAGTCTACCAACTGCCAAAATAACAACACTGTTGTGGAGACTCAACACAACAGAGCGTGGAGTCGGTGACAAAAGCCTGGAGTGAGACATCCAGTGAGTGGTGATGTGACAGAGCACATTCTCCTTGTGGGCAGCGAGGCCTGACAGACATGAGTCACCTTGTGTGGCCAGTGGACATAGGCAAATATCACCGTGTTATATCATAAAGGAAAGCGAGCCCCAGGGAGGCCCTCCATCAGCTCTATCAATACCTATCACCACTATCATGCTGGACCAGCCTCAAGGCAGATTCTCAACTAGCACCACGGATCAGAAAGGGGTCAAGATCATCATGTTCATTAAATACTCTATTTTGTAATCTAGTCAAGCATACATGATTGTACGTTGCATTCAAAACATACTTGAACTTTGAATACATGCAGCTCACGTCTGAATTATATCTACCATGTTTACAACTTCTCAATGTAAAATACATTGCAGTCCACATTATAACAAAGAGAAGACATCATTAACATGATATTAATGTCAACTCCATAGATATTCATCTTTCTTACTGAACATGACAGCATTTATTAAAACGCTCTGTTAAGCAGGGTAAGATGTGTCAAGCAAATAACATACTGCAGATTTATTTTAGATTACATATTCCAAGTGACTTGAAAAGAAGATTTTTTTGTCAAGTTGATTAGATGCTGAGCCCTCTATACAAAAATGAGTTTTCATGAAACACAATACAAATACCAAAACAGTTAAACCCATAGACAGTCATCTACAGTGATATGTGTCTGACTGAGAGTAACTAGAGTAGCATCAGTGCTCATGTGTCTGACCAAATGTATTGATTTGTAAACCTTGATAATTGTCTAATACATTGGTACATTGTATCCCATTTGTTTGTAGTCTGTTGCTTACGAACCAAATTCTTTTATGTACAGATTTCAAGTTAACTTATTGTTTCAACATGGAAATTGACTGTAACACTCAGACTTTGATATTCATGTGTGTCTGTGACAGTCTGTGAGAGGCATGAGTGATCATGTCTGACCAACTAGATCATATGTTAATGTCTGTGTAAAATGAAGAAATCCTGAAATGATACACAGATGTTTACATGTTTGGTGAAACCAACATGTATGGGTTTGGTGCTAACAAACCTTGAAAAGTTAAGGAACCAGGATTTGAACCTAAGGGACACTACTCTGTACAGCAAATAGTGGTGCTAGGGCCAACTAGGTTCAGGACCAGTTCTAACCCAGAATACCCATAGTCAGACCAGCATGGGTTCCTGGGAACCTGCTCCAACCTTGAATCCCCACATGGTGAATCTTTATTACAATGATTAACTGCATCTATGATAGTATGAAGCAAGGTGTTAGGTATAACTGCTATCATGTACATGTCACTGAATACATCAGCAGGGTTGGGGATACATGTATGTCTCACTGCAGAATACATGGCTCTAGTATATTTATCTATTTTTTTCATGACTAACTACTTGGCTATCATCATGATCTGGACTAAAAAGCAAAGCAAACCAAAACAAAAATGCACATTGAATATGAAGAGACAATTCAGACTGTTTCTTTTCTTAAAAATATTCAGAGACTGCATTAACACACTTAGTGCAGCACTCATTCGAATAATTACCACCAATGATATAGTCACATGAGCATGATGACAACAAGCTCTCTTGTTATGTGATAAAAATTGTGAAGTTCAGTACTTAAAATGCATCAGTGTGCTTTTCTGCAGTTAGACATGGATTATACATGAAGTTGGGTGCATATATTAGCTTTTCTAATGACTTCAACTCACAAGAACCTTGAGAGTTTCACATGACTGGACCATAAAACCAATCAGTTGTTTGTCTGGACATTCTGTCAAAGAAAACAATGTTACCATGTTACGTCTGTAATTCAGTATGCCTGTCATTTACCATTCATTAAAATCTATTTACAAGTAGGTATGTGAGGCTAAGCCCACAGACTTAAATATTTTCCTTTAATACCCATAAACATGATGAAGGACATGCCCTATGGCCATCACAAAAAATATGACAATAACTTGCATTCTACAACAACTTTATAACTTTATAATAAATGTTTCAGGAGAGGAAAAGTTTACATACACTAATATGCATTTTGTGCATGTTAACCAAATTTAAGAGTATGGTAAACATGGTCAAAATCTAAAATAGTACAGAAATGGAACGTGTGAAAATAACATTGAGCCTCTTGAAATAAATTAGGGCATTGTAGGGAAATAATTTTTACGAAAGAAAATGAATGAACAGGCCATGTCTAACAAGCAGATGAGGAAATAAAACTTTTATTTTATGAACATGACAAAGAATCCCTCCTCAGGAATTGTATGAGACAAAACTGCCTTTCAATACCGTTAAAAACGAGAAGTTATGAACACAACAAAGTAGCAAGGATAATACTTGCTCTGAACATTGGACCCCAAACCATTTGAGCAGCCTGGGTTTCACTTTGATTCCTTGGAACATCGGATTATTTCCTTTCACAAAGTGTCAGCTTAATATGAAGGGAAAATTCAAAATGATGCTGGTCTCCGACATTTTCCCAATTTAACACTGATAAACAAACTCAGTGTGGTAACAGTAAAAACAAATTGGGGGCAGTGGGTACTGGATGATTGGCAGCATTTTAGTTATTTACTGGCTATCCAGTTATGATTAATTGGTTGTGGACATCATTTGAAAAGGAAGATTATGCTCACAGGAAATTATACAGATAAATAATATGAAAATCAAACAGATAATGGGTCAAAAGCCTTTGCCTGACACCAAATATTTATTCGTGTTTTGCATGTATTTGGACACATTATCATGATAACCTGTCCACATGTTAAAGTAAATATAGAAATGAGTCACTGGGTCCACCTATTTTTTTAAAAAATACAAAGAAAAGATATACAAGTAATGAAATCATAAAATAGGAGTGGGGTACGTAAGGAACTATTTCCAATAAATATATGTGGTTGATACTTCGAGGAACATTCTGTGCCTTTTGGGTATGATGACATCAACAATATCAGTATATCACAGAACATGATCAGATCAGATGAGCTTACTTGTCTCTTACGACAAGCAACAGAATGCTTGGGATCTTGCATTCATACACACTACCAGCGAATGTACTATGTAGGCCTAAGTGTCATTGTTCAACCATTTTCGTCCCCATTTTTAAAATGCGAACTTGGAAATGTCAAATGTCAGTCTGATCAAGCCTCCTGTGTACGTAGTTATGAAAACAAATACCGTGAAGGAGAAGTGATATGATCTGTTTAATGATCACAGAGGAAGAACGATGATATTTATTTTTCGGAAAAGGGACACAAGAGCAGAAGCATCCTGAAAATTCCACAGCCCAGTCACAGTTGCACAACATCGATATCCACAATTGAACGAGTGAATTTCAACATTCAGAATGATTTATGTAACAGAAAACAACTTGAATATCACAATCCTCTATGCTTACGTTAAAAGGAGTAGATATCCGCCGTTCGAGACGAAATTGATGCTTCAGATTAAACTGGCTTGGATGACCATCAGAGAAAATTTCGACGCCATGATTGTTTTGCAAATCTCCATTGCATTATGGGAAAGGTTTTCTTGACACTTAAAATATAATAGTTTATTTGGTACATATGTGTAGATATGATATAGTTGTCTTGTTACTTTGATATAAACATAAAGAGTAGTGTAATATTAAGAAATAGCGTGGGTCTACTGAAATCGGTTGCGCCACCTAAATACGGGTTCTCCAATGTATAGATTGACTATTAGTAAAAAGATAGACAAGTACCCAGTCATACGGGTTGGGGGAAAAGCATAGCGCCATCTGTAAATGAGTATTCTCCCCTTATAGTTCATAAACATTTTACTAGCGTTTCTTTCACCTTGCGTTAACACCATTCATGACTGACACGACCAGTCGTCTGGAAAATAAAGTTTTCTGAGAAATAGAATGAAAAAATATAAGCAGTTCAAAACATAGAAATATACCTTTAATACTAATAATACTTTTGAAAGAGATTGTTTTCAATTCATTAATTCTGATCACTCGTTGAGGTACTAATGCTAAACAGACGACAGTGTGCATTTCACAGAGTAAATCAAATATGAAATTTGCGAAATCAAAACGAATCTAGAGGATCTGTTCTTCTGCCTGAAGATTGCACACCCTGACAAAAATAGAGTAAAATAAGTTTAAAAGCATAGTTAACATGCTGACGTTAGTGGCTAAAAACGGAAACTCTTTCATATTTATATGCTGGTAACTCTTTTATTTCAAGCAACATTTTAAGTGGTATTTATGCAGCGTAATGACATACGAGCAACTTGCAGATTCAAATATGTAACAATCCCCTACAAATGCATCGTAATGATAATATATTTCCGTAGTCCTAATTGTCACCGTATAGAAAATTCAGAAATGTAGATTTCCATTTTAATAGTTTGTCCGTACAGAAACATTGTTAAGTGAAAACCGCCTGAACACGGTCGGGTACATAGCATTTTTACGTGCGCTTCAGATTTTGAGCGATGAGACGCTTAAATGAGAATAATACTATAAAGTACTGTCGGAAATAGAAAAAAACTGTATTTTCTCATTTATCACTACAATTCATGTAGTTGATATGTACAAGTGTGAAATATCTCTTAAACTAAATTCGGCCTAACTACAGTCTCAATAGTAGGGACACAAGAAACGTAGAAAAAGGACTTTACTGAGGAGAGATTAGTGCAGAAATGAGCAATGCGGTTTTTTCCAAGTCCAAAACGAATTATTTGGAACAGACCATGGCTGTATGCAAATTAGTGTGCGACGATATTGTATTATAAAGGACACTTTTTAAGTGACCAATCTGAAATTAGACGTAGCTTCATTATAAACGATAGCTGGTGTAAAAAATAATAACTTTCATGCTGAAACTATTAAGGATGTAGCTACCATGGAGTCTCACTGTCACTATAAAAAGAAACAGCTAGGAGGGTTCGTCTCAAAAGCAAAACCTGGACGGGTGTCGCAGACGATCGTTAGGGTGGGGCTTGGGGACAGAGATATCAGCTAAGATACGATAATCCTTTAGGGGAATTATACTGGGGAAGTAAACGGCATGTCATAACAATTTACAAATAATATCCAGTCCTGTCGATCTTCGCGATCGGGTGGTCATGCCACCTATATATTTTGAGAGATTTAATACGATACGTTGCTATGGTTATCAGGTATCAAACTCTTTTACATATCTCAACATAAACTTTATGAAAGAAAGACACTTATACAAAAAAAATATAAGCTGTTAATCAATAGATGAGGCATAGTCAACACACATGAAAAAGCACAAAATATCTTTGAGATGACCCCTTGGGCGCCTGTAGGCAGCACATGCATTTCATGACGGTCCGTCGTCATACCTGGCTGAGCGACCTAATTGCTATCTATAGTCTGATCTATTGTTTTCAGCAGCTATTCGTATTTTTTCTAAGTTTTGCCCGATTTTACGAGTAAACATGTTTTTCTGGATATCCTATTACGCATCCCACTGAATGCCAAGTTAGGCCGAAGTGGGTTATTTCGACATAAGCTATTTGCATTTGTGTCAATTTTAGGGATACAGAGTAAGAGCCTAAAAACAGTTTTTTTCTATTTCCGACAGTACTATAGTAACGCAAATTTTTTTTCCATAGGGCTATCATCCTTATCAAACCAGATGACCGTTGTATTTAAGTTTTAACTTCGTCAAGAAAATAACACAGGTACAAGTACACAGACACCTGAAATTAAATATCCGTTGATCTCGCCACTAGAGCCAAAAGAGAGACATATATCTTTAGAGGTAACGACATTGTCACTGTACCTAATACTAATAGTCCAGTATAATTAGTGGAAAAAATCACTTAACCTCCTAAAAATTGGTACAGAAATGGTTTTGTGTTTATATCGTTTACAATAGTTATGAAAACAATGAATAAAAAGTCCTCCCTTGGATGTTGATGCTAAGTGGCTTTTTGGGGCAAAAACTATGAAAAATGGTATTTTTCAATTATTTTTTTTTATCTGAAAATATGTCCAGAAAATGGTATAAAATCTTGCAAAACATACAACTGAAGTGTACAAAACAGTAAATAATGAAACTTAAAAACCTTATGACATGAGGTTTGATCTTGGATTTTGGACACTCCAGCACACGGGAAACAAGTAAATGAGAGTTATCTCCCCTTTGTTTACAATGGCTAGCAGAATGGAAAGGAAAGGTTATATCTTTTATAAAACTCTAACTAGATGAGGATATAGTTAGCCATCTAGATAAAGAATTAAAAAGACAGCTAAAAGCTACAATTAGAAAAGATGAGGAGGGGGGCTGAGGTGATTCTGCTCCCATAATTAGCCCACAGAACTATATGCACTGCGGTCGTGTCAGACTACGCACATTGGTGATAAATGGGACATTCTGTATCAAGATTTAACAGAACTTGAAGAAACATATGATAGACTAGGAAAATATGATACCATTCATATTTTCTATGCTATTAATTTTAAAACAATTTGAAAAGGTGATTGAAGGATAAGTTTGTTGTCTTTTAACTTTAACTGGCAACAAAATATTATTATGTGAGCAGAGTGAGTGAGCATGTTTTTATGCCGCTTTTAGCAATCTTCCAGCAATATCACAGCGGGAGAAAATAGAAATGGGTTTCACACATTGTACCCATGTGGGGTCTTCGGCATGACGAGCGAACGCTTTTACCACTAGGCTAAACGAAAAGATCTCTCACTGACAGAGGGATGACTATATATCCCATGGTATTACATGTCGTTGGGGGTAACTGTCATGAAATCATGTACAATTCGATGTACCGGTAAGTGAAAAACTATTGCAAGGACCGTTGAATCAAATCACCTCACCCAACCACATCTCAAATATTCAAGTTAGCCTGAACACAACCCTTCAAATTATTGGATTTCCTTTACTCAGAATATCTTCTGTTACTGTTACGTTTTGTTGAACAGCATTGTCACCAAGCATGATACTCAAAATTAATTCAAATATACAGACTATGAGACCAAGGGTATCACTGTCACCCCATTGAAAAGCCCTTGGTGTTCAGGGTCACCATCACTACAGTTCAAGCCAACCGATATGTTAATTAATATCTTGTTCATTATTACAATCTCTAGTTACAGAAGAAGGAGCTAAGTGCAACGCTTCCGATAATGGGTGTACACAGGGTCAGTTCATTAAATTTGCAACAGGTAATGCAGATCAATCTGAGAACATGGATTAACACATACCGATGACGTTTTTGCCAATAAGGTGACTGTTTGCCAAGAATGCTGAGGTGTTGATGCGCTAAAATGGATGGGTTCGTATATCCTGGGTTCATATGTTACGGAGATGCTGAATCAAATTGCTTGATGTCTTGAACAATTCATGTAAAATATGAAATGAATCACTAGATTGTATCATTCTCAGTATTGAGTTATGTCACCTTCGTGCCTATGATCAACCTGAATCCCAGACTCAACGTACTTGTTTGTGAGCGGTCAAGACAAAGACGTACAATGTCGGTACACATTTCGACAAGCCACATATATTAGGTTAACCAGAGTCAAGTAATCTACACATATTCATATTCACGTGGAAGTCAGCTGGTTGTATTCGACAGATAATATCTCACATAGGACACTGTAATGGAATTAAAGTGAGAATTTGTCACCCATATGTTGACATGGAAGTTCCATCATGCATGATCTGGCCCCCTGTACTTCGATCGGTTCCGTGAGGTTACAGCAGAAAAATATTGATGTGGATTTAAGTCTTTAGCAATAAATACACTCTTCTTTTAGTAAACCTAATCCTTGTGTCATGGACAAATACCTGGAGAGCAAAGGCACCACTTAGTTTCTAAATTGAACTCCTATTAGCTTTGGATAGAGCCGTTGCAAGTATACTACCATAGACAAAGTCAAACGTATTGCCAAGGAAACAATAAATACACATTTCAACATCTTAAAATAAAATAGCACAGGGCTCAAGTTCATAACTTGATCTCTCTCTCTGTTCAAAGTTTATGAATGAATATGTGTTAGTTTTAGAGATATAACAGCTTCCCCATATTGATAGAGGATAGTTCCCTTTCAGATTAATCATAACATTGATGAGACGAAAAGAGGAACTAAATTGCATGTTCCTGAAGTTAGAAGTTCCTGAAAATAGAAAAGTCAATGGTTTTATTCAAATTATAACTTTTCCAGTCCATGTATTAGTAGTTCCATGTGTCCTCTTTGAAAATATGCATATAAAAGTACACTTGGGTCTCAGTATGAGGTTTTAAATATTATTCTCTGACAATTTTAACTTTTCAATTTTGTACCCCATAATAGGATTTAGCATACATCTATTTGACTTTTATAACCTATGTATAAGTAATACCTTGTGTTCTCTTTGAAAATATCCATAAAAAGTACATTTGTGTCTCACTATGAAATTTAAAAAAAATATTCTCTGAAAAAATCATTTTTTTGACTTTTTACCCCAAGACAGGACTTTGGATAACATTATTTGACTTTTATAATTCATCTATTGGTAGTACCTT